AAGGCCAAGGGTCATGCTGGCCTGTAGCGCCGGGGAGTTAGTTAGTTAGTTTAGTTCCTCATGGCTCCTCACTCTCTCCGACCCTTTTCTCCATTTATATTAACGACCTTCCTGTCTCCGTTCATCACTCCCGATATCATTTATATGCAGATGATCTCCAAACTTACCTACCATTCCAACCTTCTGAGATGCCTGAGGCTACCCAAAAAATGCAAGACGATATTGACTGTATCCACAGGTGGAAAAAAAAATGAATTGAAGCTGAACGCAATCCTCATAAGTTCCAAGAACCTCATTAGTTCCCTTCCTTTCTCTCCTTTACTACCTCATTTCTATACTTTACTTTACCTCAATAACTGTCCCATCAATTTCTTTCCAACAGTATAAAATCTCAGAGTAATTTTTGATCAGTACCTCTCTTGGAATAACCACATTTCCCAGATTATGCGAAAATCAATTACTATCCTTAAACAATTCCTACGATTCTGTGAATCCATTCCAAAAAACAACAGACAGCTTCTTGTAAAATTCCTTGTTTTTCCCCATTTCGACTACAGTTGCTTGGTGAATGGAGGTCTGTCCACAAAACTGGAGGAGTTCTGTCCACAAGACAGGAGGAGAACTCAGGAGAATCATGAATTGCTTCATAAGATTCATCTTTGGGACCCCCAGGGGTTCCCATGTTTCCTGCTAATACACCAAGTTGAATTGGCTCTATCCTACTTTCCAATGGCAATCCCTTCTTGGTATTTTCCTTTTCCAAGTCCTCAGAACCAAAAATCCTCCCTACATCCTAGAACTCTTTACTCTACATTTCTCTATCCACTCTCTTATTAATACCAGATTTCAACCTTTAGATTTATATATATCCCCTGCCATAAAACCACTTTCTTCAGCAAATCCTTCGTTATTCGTGCTACCTCCTTTTGGAACTCCTTACATATCTCCAAACGTCAAACCACGTTCACAAATTCCTTCAGACAACTCTATTTCTCCACCTACTACAGCTTAGCTTAAAAATTATTGACAAGTATTTTAAATTTTATTTATTCTTTCAGTTAAATATTTTATCTTAATTCTCGTAGTTTGAAATAGGATCACAAATATAAAATTTTATATTTTTAAATTTTTGGGAAAAGCAAAACCTCCCACCATCCTCTCTCCAATTGTCTTTGTCCTCAATCCAAATAGTCTGAAAATGTAGTAAATTAAAAAAAAAAAATAATAATAAAAATAAAAACCAAGTTCTCAACAGAACTCATAATTATATAATTTTTAATGATAATTCTCATGAAATAATCATGTGAAAACATATAAATAACAATTTTAATATCCATAAATGGAGAAGGTTGATTTTTTTTTTAAATATTATTTATACTTAAACCTTTAATTTCATATTTTATAATTAATATAAATTTACATACTTAAACATTTATAAAGTAATAAAGTCTGTTTTTATTTCAATTTTCTAATATTCAGAATTTATACCCAGCATTATTATTGGCTTGAATTATCAGATACAATTTTATTCATAATTTCTCAAACTTTACCACGTAACGTTGTAATAATAACAAAAACACATAAATCAATTGATTTACTTTTTATTTCATTTGATTCATAATATGAAAATACATAAATAATGAGATCTAGTTGAGCTTTAAAATCATGAGATGGGTGAATTTTTCTTCCAAAAATAAGGAATTTTGAAATACTGTGTGCCGGCTCAGATTTCCAATGGAGAGTATATCAGTTTTCCTGAAATTGTTCTACAATTTTAACGATGAAACATATTAATTCATTTTACCATTTTTTCCACATAGTACTCACCATTGTTTTGTAAATAAAGTAGTATGATTTAAGTCGTATATATAAATTTTCCATTCACGGAGAGTTTTAGAAAATAAATGACATACTTTATAGTTTCATATTTGGCAGAAATAAATGTCATTTTTTGAAGGTCTATTTATTGAGTATGATATAACATACTCATATATTTATAGCTGTTTTTTTAGTTTTTACTCTTAAAATTATTTCTCTTCCTGGATGAATGCTAATTTAGATTATGTTTTTTGTTGTACAACATGAAAATAAATGTTGGATAAATGCAATAGATTTTTAAAAATTGGAGAAAAGTAAATAAGTCTTAAAGGAAAGATTTTTCTTTGACAAAAAAAACAAACTCAAAACCAGAAAAATTAGTTTTTACATTTATATATATTTTTTTTTATTATTTATTAATACTACAATTACATTAAATATTTTAATTTTCTTTCATATTCTCATTACTATAAAAGTTTAGTCAAAGATTTCAATATTAATTTATTATTTATCATGGTATCTCAGTCATTTTAAATAACTTGGATGTTTCTTTTATTAAAATCCTTATTAAAATAGATAAGTTGTAAAAAAAAACAGTAATTTGCTATTTATGACAACTTGTCAACCAACCATAATTTTTCTAGTATTATTTAAATTTAAATTGGTATAAGTCAAATTGTTTTTATTTGATATTATTAAAAAAATATATTTTTTAATTTGAAAAGATATTTCGGGTTGAATTCAATAGTATATTTCCATGTTAGTTGTAGTTTAATATCAAAACTGATTGTTTTAAATGATATTTAAGATTTTTCATAGAATTAGTATAAAGTTGAATGCATGTTAGTGGAAATGTGACAAATAAATAATTATGAATAAAAAATTTAATCCATTTCTTCAGAAACTAATTAGCTGTTATGCTTTTAAAAAACCAAATTACTCTTATGTTGTGTGTTGTTAAGAAGTGTATGTGGTTATCTTTGTGGATCACGTAACCAGAAAAAAAGGCCGATTATTTCTTTTGTATGATTTTTTTTATTTGAACAGTTTGTTCATCTACTTCTCATTTTCATAAAGTTTAGGTAGCTCTTTCATTTCATCCATTACCAGTATCGTCTGGTTTTCTTTTTCTAACAAGTAATGATATCTTTCTCTCCAAATCTCCTGACTTCAGTTTAAAACTTTAGTCCATACATATTGATCAGGTTTGTAAAATTATGCTTACACTACTCTATCATTTGGCTGATTATTGTAGTCTAATTCTTCTCTCTCTGAAATTAGATTTCTTCCATATTTTAAATCCAGCTGTAATAAACATTTTCTGTTGATCCTGTTCAACTTGTAAAATCGTTCTTTCCACTCTTTGGGATAGTTTCGAATACATGACTCTACCGAGTTATTTTATATTTTGTATGTGTTTCGTTTTACTTTCAGGTTCAAAAATGTTAATTGAATTATTACTGTTTTAGGATAATTTCTAGCATAATCAATTATAAATATTGGATTGGTAAATAAGTCCTATTGGTTTTTCTGTTTATTTTTATGTCACTATGATACACTTCTTATCTGATGAATTAATCCCTAAGGTGGATTGTTTATCCTGTTTATAATATGTCAACAACTATATCTGTTAATTCTTATTGAAACTAGCTTAGTATTGTGTTTGCTATTGCATTGTGAATATGAAAGAAAATATCATTCATTATCGCCATATTTTGTTTTATTATTTCAAATAAGATAAGCGTACTGCAGAAGCTCATTGAAAAATTTGCAGTGTTTATGAGGATGATGCCTTAACCGAACACATCTGTCAAAATTGGTTTGCCAAATTTCATTCAGGAATATTGAAACGAGCAAAATTAAGGCCATTATTGATAAAAATCATATCCAACCAGTGCGAGAGATTGCTATGGCTCTAAATGTGTCACACACAAGTGCAGAAAACCATTTGCACAAACTTGGCTATGTTTCCAGGCTTAATGTTTGGAACTTAATCGAAAATCACAAAAAATGTTATAACTTCAATACGACTTGATCTATCTACAAGAAATTTAGCAGGAATTTAGGGCCACATAAACTACACAAAATGAAATAAACAGGACCTTCGTTAACAAACTATAAAATGGAGATAAAAACCTATAAGGAGTTTTTTTTTATTTATTCCTTATGTAGGCATTAAATCAAAAACCATTCATACAGCTTTGAAGAGCAATAATTCAGCTTTCCAATGGATATAGTAACATTGACTTTAGAGAACATCCTGAAGAGTTATGAATGATCGGAAGGATGTTGTGTTTCACCAAGACAACACTAGGCCCCATACCTCATTGGTCACTCTTAATAAACTATTGAGCCTTGGATGGGACCTTATGTCCCCCCCTCCCTATTCAGCAGACCTAGCTCCAATTGACCAACGCTTATTCCGATCCATGCAGAACTTCATGAATGGTGAGAAATTCCAAAAGGAAGAGGACATAAAAAACCACCTTGTTCATTTTTTTAACAATTAACTCCAGACGTTCTATGAACATGACATTATGCAGTTAGTGGAAAGATGGGAAAAAGACATGTTAAATAATGGTCTATATATTGTAGATTAAAATAAATTTTTTGTCTATAATATATTGAGTTTTATTTCACCAGGAAAACCGAAAGGACTTATTTGCCAACCCAATATTATCCTCACTATTTTTAAGCAGTACATTTGTTGATATTTCTGTCTAAAGTTTCAGCTGTTTATTTAATGATCTGTCCAAATATTTTTCTTATTCAAGATTTTATTGTTAATTACCTTTTTACTACAAAGTAAAATTTATAAGTCATATTGAATATTTAATAGTTGACCGTTGCATTATAAAGGAAGGAGATGGTCCGGGGTTGCGGTCATAAATAGGCTAAATAGTGGTAAAACTATTTTATTGAAAACTAACGTTTTGACCCAACTTTGCAGGTCTTCATCAGGGAGGTGTGTTCATCTAGGAGTTTCACTTAGAACTAGGAGTTTCACTTCTAAGTGAAACTCCTAGATGAACACATCTCCCTGATGAAGACCTGCAAAGTCGGGTCGAAACGTTGGCTTTCAATAAAATAGTTTTACCTCTATTTAGCCTATTTATGACCGCAAGCCTGGACCATCTCCTTCCTTTAAAATTTATAAGGAATAAGATTTAATACATAACAATATATTAGTCAATCCAAATAAGAAAATTTTATTGAAAATACATGTACATTATATCTCAGCTCATGGTATTATATCAGCCTTTTCCACTTCCATCCACCCTCTTCCCTCCGGATAATCTGCAATCATGGTTTTGGGAAAAAATTTATCTGTAACAGAAAATCATATGGATTTAAATATATTAAAAAAATCATATAATATTGCCCTTTCTGCTTCAATGATAACTTGCAAGATGAATTGCATATTACAGAGTTATAAATTTAGGTTTGATGTAATCAAATAACACCAAACCAATTAAGAAAAATCATAATATAAATTATTATGATAGAGATGAAGTTTTTCATTTGTTTGTCAAGCTCTTTTTAGGGGCATATCACCAGTAATTTATAATTTAAATAAAAAATATTATTGTTTGTTGAGTAATATTTATAATGTTATTACTATATACAATTTGAATAAGAACAATTACCTTTGAACCATTCTTTACAAAGCATTCTCTAACAAGTCGACCAATAGCACATTTTTCATTGGCATCTTTAACTACAGCTAAAATTTAAAAAAAAAATATTGAAAACATTTTAATGATATTATTTTATTCAGAGTTGAAACTTATCTTAAATAATACCTTCTTTGGTGCAAGTTTCAATCATGTTATTAGCTTTTGTAAGTTCATCAGGGGAATTAGCAAAGCGATGCTGTGCCAATCCTTTTGCAGAAAGTTCAATAAATTTTCCATCTTTTGTCTAAAAAACAAGATTGATCATTATAAAGTCAAAGTTATATTAGCTACAGAATAGTGTTAGCTATACTTTTACTTACAATGTTTAGTCCATTGTACATGCATTCTAAGAAGCACTGGAACAAAAATCTTTTATTATAAAAGAAATATTTTAAGTTAAAGGTAATAGATTAAGGCAATGAAGCATTGAAACATGTTTACATTTTTTAATTCCAATTATTTAAATTTATTATTCATTTCTATTAATACACTATCATAGCAAGTTTAAACTCATAGTTTCCAATCTTAATTTTAATTAAAGAGTGAACATTTTTTTGGCCAATTTATTACTGATTGCCCACTAAAACAACTATTGAGATGTGATTCTATTATTGCTCAGAATACGACCTGAAAACATGTTTTGAAAAAAAAGTGCATATCAACATAAAGTAAATATTCTCATTTTTTAAATATAAGGAAATATGAATATTTTAAAGATAGTTTATAAATAAAGATGGTAAGAAAACGGAGGAAGCTAAAAATAATTCTTGAAAATAGTTAGATAATGTGAATCTTAAATTTAAAGGTCTTTTTTTTTTTGTTACGATCTGGTACTTTCCACAAATATTTATTTTAGATGCTGAAATCTTTAGCTTTCCAATGGTATACTATAAATCTATAGTATTATTTTTATTTCTGATAATTTGTTTCCAATTAATAGGAAAGTATTTTTACAGTTACAGTTAATCATAAAATTCTTTTTTAGCTTAAATTTATCCATTTTTTATGCTCTTCTACCAAAGAGAGAGATCAGTTATTTCAAAGAAACAATATTAAACAAAAAATTCAACATTTCAATACTTTGTTTGACTTTCAGCTAAAGTCAGTTTTTAATTATCAATATCTCATTTTATTGCTGAATACATATCTACATAATTTGTTGTGAATTTAATATCCTTATTTTTAGCTCTAATTTATTTATTTTACCAGAACTAATGTCTATAATTCATATGAAATACATCTCGTTTGAGTGTAGTCAGAATATATTAGCCACACTCTGCTTTGCTAGTACATGTTACGAAGATATTACATGTTTTCCTCCTATTTCTTGTTTAGTTAATAATAAATTTTGGTCATAGTTTATATATTTTTTATTATTACTGACCATGGGAGATAGTTCAATTTTTCAAATAAACAAAATTAAAGGTACTTTAGAGAAAGAAATTTTGAAAATTTGGCATTTAAATCAAATCCGACTATTTTGATAATGGCTAACTGAAATTAAAGACCACTTGATTGTACATTAGCATACAGAGTTTGATCAAAATGTTTAAAGTTCATGAAATAAAGTGCCACCGCTGGCTAGTCGATTTTAGCAAAAATGTTCCTGTATAATAACAGGCATATACGTACCTTAAACATTTAATTTCAGTTTTGTATGTTTTTTTATTTTTTTTTAAGGTAGACACATGCTGACAGACTATTTCATTAACCTTGGTTATCTGGTCTTAAAATATGTATTTCCTTTGAAAATTTGGATTACAAAATTTTGACAATTGCCATACTTTCCTTTACTATATGTTTCTTATATAGGTAAGTGAAAGTAAAAATTAAAAAAGTTTTTTCTAATCATTCATTATAATTAACCGAAACCTAAGAAGAATGTCCTTCTAAGTGCACAAACTTTTATTAAAAGATTATTAATGATGATAAGATTGTGATCCAATACAAAATATTTATTAATTTTCTCATTTGTTATAATAAAATAATTTCTTTATTCAAGGAATTTATATTTTATTTTCTCTGTAATTTTAATATATAATGTAATGTAATTTTATTCATAAAATAAAAATTAAGTATCTTAACTCACCTTTTCAGCTTCTGTTTTTGGAATGGCTTGGTTAGAAACTATTTTAGCTTGCTCTAAAAAAGTAATTGGAATGATTAGAAAATTATTGTAAAAAAAAAAAAAAACTTAAAAATCTGTCAGTTAAATATATTTTAAATTTTATTCTTATTATAAAAGAAAATTTAATACAATTCTTAAAGAAATTATTTTTATTTCTTATAGATTTTTTGGTACAATTATAAATTAATGTGCACCAGAAAAAAATGTCTAATTTGCATAATATAACATAGATTATAAAATATAACAATATATAAAAATAAAGAATATTATGAGTCAAAATATACGCTTTGTCTATAAATCAAAAAATTGCAAACTAGTAAGCAAAAAGTGTAAAAAAAATGAACTAAAAAGAATGTGTAAATTTTCTAATGATTAACTGTTAAATAATAAATATTTTTTGTTCTATTTAATAATTATTTGATCCGTTTTTATAGGGTTTTCCTCCATTTTCTAAACACTGAGCTTTGAGATAGTTTTCATTCATTTAAAAAATAAAATATATCACAGCAAAAGAATCACAGAGTTACACATATTTTTATTTTTTTGTTATTTTTTGAAACACACAAAAATAAACTATCCTAATATTAAATTTTTTATTATTCCATTTTCCCCTTAATTCATCCAATAGAAGTGGTAAGGAAGTTATACTGACTTACTTAACAGATATTTGTTTCATAAAGTACGTATAGTGTCTTTTATGTATTTTTACATATAAACGTATTTTATAACTGAAAGTAGCCTAATAATAAATTCATTTGTATGAAATATTAAATGGTTTAATTATTTCTCATTAACGTTAACCTCAGGACATTATTTCTACATATCTATAAGTTTATCAGTTCTTAACTCTCTACTTCTAACTTCTTAACAGTTCTTAACTACTATGAAATTAGTATATAAAAAAAGTAAACTCTTAGAGCTTATTGTTAGTAGAAACATACCTGCTGTAATTTTTGTTGATGTCTTACATGATTCTGTCAATGCTAGAACTTGTTCTTTGATTTTGTGCCTAATTTCTTCTGGCGATTTGGAAACTGTGACGCCCCCTGCTGGTGTAGATCCACCTGACGGTTGTGGGGTAGTTGTAGGCTCCGATGTAGTATCACACTAAAATAAAATTATTTAGTAAACAGAACTGCTACAACACATAAAATAAAAGTAAACTAATAGTTTTAAATTTTACCTTTGATACAATAAATAATGTCACAAACAAACTCAAGCTAGTGAATGTTTTCATATTTGGAAATTAATGAAGCACCTTGTCTGTTCGCTAGTGCTCTACTGGGTAGGAAAGGGAGGAAGGCCTTACTTTTATAGACTCTTAGCGGAAGTGTCATCATTCATTAAACTGTGAGAGAAATTGTCAACCGACTATGGCTGAGAGTTCCTATTGGCTGAGCTCTATGGAAGATTCCAGAAGGCTTCTCCCTACTAGATAAGAACAATTTTCTTTTTAACTCAGTCCATCAAACGTTTGTTATCCTGTTAGTGGCTTTATCTATTTTTCAATTTAGAAGATTGCTGTCACATGACTTAGGCAAGAAGTATGAACAGCAGATAAAATATGTCTTGGTGATGATGGACTATTGTTTATGGGATTTTTTATTTTGTTTAAAATACAATGATAATTCAAAATCTTCATATAAAATCATATATCAATAGATTTGAACCCATATTATCAAAAATATATTATATATCTTTAATTACTTTAAAAAAATACTTGGAGAAATAATTTTTAGATGTTATAGGTAAGAATATTGAACGATATCAAACTTCAAATGCATTACTAATAAAAGAATATTTGCATGGAAAAAAAAATCTAGAATAGAATACAAATACAATGTATTAGTTAATAAATTAATATAAAATTCCACAAAATATTTTCTTCCATAATTTATGATTATGTATTCATCCAACTAAATATTATTTAAACATATTCAATTTGTTGTTAAGTAGAAAGTCTAATTATAACCAATGTAAAAAATCTAGTCATTTATTGCTATTACTGTAGATAGGATTACCACAAACTGATTAAATGAATTGAATAGTGGATTTTACCTAACTATAGATTATTTTTCTAAATGTGGTTAAAATCTAAAATGTTTTTTAACTGCATTAAACTAAAATAAAATATCAGTGTTATTCCATAATTGTTTTTATTACTTTATTAAATATCAACACTGTATTGTTTTGTTTGATTTGTAATAATTTTTATTTCATTAAAATTAAACTTAATGCTTTGTATATGCTATATTTATATTCAATTTTGAATTAAAACTGTACTTAAGGAGCACTGTATTATGTACCATTAAAATATCAATTGTTGTTTAATGGTTTGATATCTTAATCTACCTAGGATAGTATATTTGATAATAAAATAAAATAATGGAATAAACAGAAAGAGGAACACAGTTATCATATTTTAAATTTATTTTTAAATAACATAGACAATCCATATAATTCACCAATGATCCACAAAGTTAATTGATGAAATTTTAAATAAATATTTTTTTTAATATATTGCTAGAATCTATTTTACATTCCAAAAAAAAAGTATTTATTATATTTAAGATTAATAATTTAAAACAATTTTCATGTTTTTTTCTTTTTTCTTTTACTAATGTCTCTGATTATATGAGAAAAATAATCGGCCTAAAAAAACAAACAAATTGGGACCGATGATTAATAATGAAAGAATTTTTAAGTATTTTCTGAGACTTTTAATTTTGAATTTTATTACATTACTTCGATATGAACTATTAATTTATCTGTGATGTATGAATCATTAATTTAAATTTAAATAGTACAAGGCCTAGAGTGGTCTCCTTGCCCCTTCCCTCTAAATCCACCCTAGTATTTGAGGAAAATATACTAAACAGCAACCAAAATATCACCTAGTGTTAAAATGAGTTATAATGGCGAGTGCTCGTTTGTCCTCGGCTTTCCTTTAATTGTTTAAATGAACGAATTATTTTTATTTTTATCTTTTATAAAGTTTTTATTAATGTTCTTTGGCTCAATTGAATTATCCCCTCAATGTTAGTAATTTCTCTGTAATTAATAATTAAACCAATCATAGGTTGAATTAGTTCCTATTTATTGTCCAGATTAACATTTAATTTCCCTCAGCTTTATAGATTTCATTCGATCATAATCAGGTTTCTCTGCTCAGAATGATCTTTTGGAAGGGATATTTATCCAGTATAATTGGTAGCTTATCTTGTAGTGAATGGTTGAAAAAATAATGATTAGGTTTTTTATTTTATTTTATTTTTTTAATTTGAATCTCGAAATGGGATATTGACCCAAATTAGTAATTTTATTAATAAAATGATGGTTATTAAGATTTTTCAATATTACTTCCAATTGTTATTTTCTAGATTTTTTAGATATATTTAATTTTATATTATTGTGTTCTTAATTCTTGATGTCTCTATCAGAGAATTATAGAATTAAATTATGACCCAATATTTAACCTAATTGTCTTGAAGTATTAATATTTTACTTGGAGCAACTAATGAAATCTACATACTATGGTCATTTAATGATTGTCCCTTGATACATGTTCAAAAAAATGAACTACAGGAAACTTTAAAAATGACTTTGGTTACTATGCTATATTGACGAAAATATCTCTATATTTACTTTTTTTGTCAAAAATGTATGTGATATAAGGCAATTTTATTGAATTCATTATGACCAAAAATGAAATCAATAATTGATGTCATTTTCTAAGTAAATAATTTAGGACAGGGATGGTACCACATTATGTGGGTGTGCAGCAAAATCTTTAGATTTGTTTATTTTTAGTTAACAAATTTAAGTCAAAAATATATTCTTATATTACTTACAAACGTATTTATATAAAAGTTATACTATATAAAAAAATATTTCTGTTTTTTGTCTTATGACCAGCATGTAAGAATAAAATGTTTTCTATATTTTTTAGAAAAATCGTCATGTGTTTTGGATATTTACAAATCATACAACCAAATAGTAATTATAAAATAATAAAAAATAAAATGAATAATGAAAAAAATTAGTGTTTTGCAAGAAACTTTGAAATGATACTTTTCGACTAGCTTTTATCAAATATTTAAATAAATTGTACGTTTCTAGAGTAACAAGTAGTAAAAAAACAACTCAGCTAAGAGTTTTCAATATATATTCTTTATTTATTTGTTTGCTCAATGTCAATTTATTTTAATAAATGTAACGAAAACGGAGTTTTTCGCAGTTGGTTTTCTGGGCCCATAAAATTGATATACATTTATAAATTAGTGAGTTCTTAAAACTTTTTATCTCCGGTTTCAAACATCCTGTATCACAATATATAAATGTAAAAATAATGTTTTTGATATTATTAAATATGAAATAATAATAACTGAACGCGGTTCAAAATATCGATAGAAAGGCTCCCACAGCGTACTTTCAACCAATAAGTCAAACCTAATTGAACCTTTAGTAATTGATTTAGCAAGAGCATATTTTACGTGGACTGTACTATTATTCTATAAACATGATTAATCGAGAATTTTATTATGGTCTTCAATTATATTTTATATTAATAGATTTTCGCCTGACCTTTGTTTAAAATTTTTTTTTTTAAATAATAGTTTTAAGTATCTTAATAAATAATAAAAAAATCAATTTTTCTCTAAAATATTTAATTTTTTTTCTGTTTCAATTTTTTGTTCAGACTATTTCATAATTAAGTTTAAAAACTCGGATTCGAATTTATTCACTATCAGAATACTTTCTCTTGATATGTATTCTATACATAAATAAGTGAAAGTAAAATGCAGAGACAAAGTAATGTAAATACAAACTGGATTATATTATCAGAAATTAGGTTCTGAACATTTTCAACTAAACGAAACATCAATTCGCGAATGACACGGTTGAAAAGCATAAGTACAACAAAGTTTTTTTTCGGTTATTAAATTGGGGTAAAAATTTAAAACAAGCTTGTTGGTTTCCCGTAATAATTTTTCTCAACACAGTTGCATAAAAAACTGGATTTGACCCGACAACTGCAGTATATCACTAACGGAAGGTTGAGTAATTGATCACTTCCTTAACATCCCTTCAACTGCCTCCCACACGTCTTCTTACTAGTCAACGTCTTGTTAAGATTGTTTAAACTCCAATTTGTATTTAGCGAATACACACAGACAATTGTGACTTCGATTAAAAACACTGGAGAAGTCTATGTATGTTTTTTGTTTTTTTTCATTTCCTTTGACTAGAGAAATCAATCATGATTTCCTTTGGTATCCAAAAATTACAACAAAAAAATCACTTTCTTCAAAATAATTTTGAGAAACGTACTTCATTAAGCTATTTCCTTCATCTGGTGTTAAATTAGTGCATTAAATTACAAATATTGACAATACGTAAGAATAGATAACTTTTATTTTGTTTCAAGAGGAGAATCCCTTAACATCGTCTAATATACATCATATAAATAATATACATTAAAACAAAGTAAATAACTCCTTAAATTTTTCTAAAATAAAAATTTATTCATTACAAATGAGAATGTTTTGAAATGTTACACGAATAATTGTTAATAATTCTGCTTTAGACAAACAATCAACCAAAAACTAACACTCCGTAATAGAGATGTGGCATTTCATTTCGTTTTACTACTTCGTATTTTTTAATTTAATTTATATTTTTGTATATTGCTTCGGAAGAATTTTCAATAAAACGATACAGTATCTGTATGATGCCAGCTAAACTGCATCAGCGGCTTTGATCATCGTAATTACAAAAATTATAATATAACTAGCTTTACACCACGCGCTACTGTGGCTCAGTCTGGCAAAATGGAAAAGAAAGAAACTAGAAAGCATATATGAGTGGATTAATACCAAACACAGACGAATCTACGAAGGAGAGAGAAGGACCAAAGGACATCTATCATTTATAAAAAATTGAAAGACATATTTGTCTGTAATATAGCTTCAATTTAAACTAATTCTAATGATTATTTTTTTTTCATGATTCAACTTGAACATTCTTAATCATCAGAGTGAATACGCCGTCATTCTTAATCGTCAGAAACAGTCTGAGTTGAACTTATAAAATTAAAATTGACTTTATTTCCGCTTTCTGAATATGACAGAAAACCGTCTTTGATATGAAGCCACTCATACATTTTCATGTTTAATTTTATTATTAATTATTTTAATATTTAATGTTCAAATTTGTGTTGATTATTTTATGGTAAATAAAAATGTAAATATTCGCTTGTTCAAGCTCTTAAATCTCGAAAAGTT